CGGAGAGGGGCAAGCCCGGTGAGATTTTGTGGGGTTCGTGGCACAAAACGCCCCGCCGTGAGGCCCCTCGGTGTCCCCGCGGGCTTCGCGGGTGCTCGCACGGCTGTGCACACCTGTATGGGGGTCTGAATGCAGAGACACCGGCAGGCACCTACATCCCCCGGGGTAACTAGTACAGCTCCTTAGTTATACACTATAAACAGTGTTTTATAAACTGTACGTAGTTCTATAGATAGTTACAGCCTAACTATATGCAGTGATATATAAAATAAATATAGGGATATGGATGGCTATACATTAACTCTATAGTTAGATATACATTATGTAGAAGTATGTATATAAAAACATATATATATAACTATGCATGTGGTTATAGACCTGTATGTGCAGCACACACCTGGACACACCTGGACACATGTTCACACGCACCTCAACCCAACATCAGCCGGTGACCCCATCCGGTGCTCTCTCATCCACCCTGGGCCCATGGCAGGAACCCAACACCCACCTACACCATGTCCCTGACACCCACACCATGTCCCTGACACCCACACCATGTCCCCGACGCCCACATCATGTCCCTGACACCCACACCATGGCCCGGACACCCACACCGTGTCCCCAACACCCACCCGGGGTCCCCGACGCCCCCAGGCTGTGCAGGGGCTGCCCCTGTCCCAGGGACCGCTCAGGCCGATGAGTTTTGAGTCACTTTAATGGCAGAAGATGGCCCTGCAGTGACCCCGGGTCCCCCTCCGGCGCTGGCCTGCCAGCGGGAAGGGGAGCCCCAAATCAGTTCTGCGTCCCCAGAGCCCGGCTGGCAGGGGACGCTGGGATGGATTCCTGGCGGGACAGGGACATCCCCGGCGGCATCCCCAGCGGGAAAGGGACTCTGGGATGCAGGCGGGTGACAGTTCATGCCAGGAATGCTTTCCTGCTGTCACCCCGCGGTGACCGGCGGTGCCAGCCCCGGGCCGGGCGGGTGGCAGCGGCGCTCTGGTGGCGGAGGCAGAGTGTCGGAGCTCGGGGACAGCAGTGGCTGTCCGAGGGGGCTGTGCCGAGCCGGGGGGCTCAGAGGATGGTGCAGCCCCTCCTGGGTCCCGCCTTGCGCTGCCTCCGGCGGGCGGCACTGATGGCGGCATTGCAGGCTGTCACGAAGATGTTCCCGACGTTATCCTGGTACCTGGCCGAGCACTCCATGTAGGACACGGCACGGACCTGCCGGGCCATGGCCTCTCCCTGCGGGGACACACACACAGAGTCACACCTCCCCAGGACCCCGCTGTCCTGTCCTGTGCCGTGTCACCTGTCACCGGGAGGTGACACCCACCTGCTGGCGGGAGACGGGCTCTATCCGCCCGTCCTTCAGCTTCTGCAGTGCTTCCTGGTCCTGCCGCAGGTCCGTCTTGCAGCCCACCAGCAGCACCGGGACCCCCTTGCAGAAGTGGTTCACCTCCGGGTACCACTGTGAAGGGACACGTCACCCCGGGATGGGCACGTGCCACCCAGGGATGGGGACAGGGGACAGGCGGCACCCCCGGGGCTGCGTTACCTTTGTTAGGATGTTGTCAAAGCTGTTGGAGTCGGTGACATCAAAGCACATGAGGACAACGTTGGCATCTGAGTAGGACAGAGGGCGAAGCCTGTCGTAGTCTTCCTGTCCTGCCGGGTGGAGAAGGAAACCATGACACACCGTGAAAGTGACATCTGTGGGGATGGCTGTGGGTCAACCCCGCCTCTGCCACAGTCATGGGGACTTGCTGGAGGTGACAAAACATGACCACACATGTGGGACACCCCAAAACGCCCGGGTGGGAGAGTGGGGGGCACACCAGCCCGGGACTTCCCCTGCTGTCCCACCTGCTGTGTCCCACAGGTGGATCTTCACGGGCTTGCCGGCAACCTGGAGGGACGCTGTGTACTTCTCGAACACGGTGGGGACATAGACCTGGCAGGGGACAGGACACAGGTCACACAGGCGGCTGGGGGGGGCAGCGACAGAGGGGACCCCAGTGGGGACAGGACAGAGCACAGGCAGGGAAGCAGGCAGTGGGAAATGGTGCTTCCTCCCTGGGGCAGTGGGATGGGAACCACCCTTGTCTCCCATCCCTGGGCACATGGATGCCCCAGGGGGACCTGGGGATTCAGGACAGGGATTCTGGGGTCTCTGTGGCTGCCCCACTTCCCGGCACTCCCTGAGTCCCTTATGTGCCCTCACCGAGGGACAAACCCTGTTTTCCCCTGGGATTCCCCAAGAGAGGCAGAGGTGTCACAGACCCCCATCAGCCCCAGGCTGGGCCAGCCCCCGTCCCCATGTCCCGCCCCAGAGGGCCCCGCTGCTGCCACCGTGTTTGTCCCACCGCCCTTTGCCCGCCACCGCTCCCGCAGGCCCGGGGACAGTCCCCCACCCCCCAGGGGACAGGCATCCCGTACCTTGGGGAAGTCCCCTTTGGCGAAGGCCACCAGCAGCGACGTTTTCCCGCAGCCGCCATCCCCGACGATGACAGCCTTGATCTCGGTTTCGGGGGCTCCTGGGCTCTGCTCCCCGCGCTCCCGCTGCATGGGGGTGTCCGCTGGGGCCACGGAGCCCGAGTGGCCTCGGCGGGGACAGGGATGGGGACGGGCAGGCGGGAAGCGCCCGCCCGCTCCAGGGTGCGGCTGTCACCCGCCCGCGGGGCCCGCCCGCCCGCCCAGGGCTGTGGCCGCGGCGGTGACAGCGGCCGGGACACACGTACGGGTGTCCTGGCGCACAGGTGACCTTCTCCCGGCGCCGTGCACAAGCGTCACGCTGCCACCTGCGTGTCCTGCCTGCCTGGGTGCCGCTCCCTCGCACTCCTGCCCACCGCCTCAGGCACACTCCATTCTCTCATCCCACTCCTGATCCCACTCCCCATCCCGATTCCGCTCGTGCAGATCCCCCAGGGATGGGACCCCGGTGCCCACCCCGAGGCCCCATTCCCGCCTCAGAGCCTGGGGTTTATTGCCCCGAGCATCCGCGGGAGGCAAAGTCCAGGGGTGGAGCAGGCACGGGGGTGGCGGTGACTCACTGCCCTCGCCCCGCTGTCACCGCCAGCCCGGCTGTCACACCCGTGCTGTGCCCTGCCGGACTCTCTGTGCCCGGCACTGGGGTGAGGGGGAAGCACCCAGCTCCTGTCTTTCCTAGTGATGGCAACCTGGATGGGACAGGCTGTGACACCCCACTTTGCTCAGGGACATGCCATCCCAGCAGCAATGTCACCCATGCCCCCCATGTTTGGATGTGCCCAAGACCCTCTCCCCTCCCCTCTTCTGCCACCCCAAAAGTTTTTGGTGGGGATGAATGGGTGCTTCTTGTATAGGGCTGCAGGGAGGGATGTGGGGTGTGCTGTCCCCTGTCACCCCCCCCGCTTTGCCACCAGCCTCTCCAGGCTCTCTCAGTGAGTACCAGCCGGTCCAGGAAGGCCCCCAAACCAATAGGAGTGAATCCAGAGTGATGGCTCAGACAACAAATTCCAAATTCTCACCCAGACCTGGAGCAGGATGAAGTCGGTGGAGAGGGATTCTCATGCTGGGAGGCAAATGCACGCAGTAATGAACAATCTCAGAAGGATGCCAGCATCGGGGCAGGATGGGGAGAGGAGGCTGGAGCACTATCAAACAATTAGGAAGGTGGCAATTACCAGTCTAATGAGATATCAGGTTGAATCCTAAAAGCATCAAGATTCTTTCACAGCGAGATGTAACTGCTGCAGGGTTCATCCTCTGGGGTATTTGCTCGGACAAAACATTTCCTTTCCCGCAAGACCAAGAGAATTTTGACGGGAGAAGAGGCAGCGTGTGTGCAACTGCCCAGTGCTCTCAGTGCCTGACCTGTGATTGTGCAGAAACGCCCCAAAAAGCAGCTTTATTTGGGGACAAATAGGCTGCTTGGAGCTTCTGAGGACGTGGAGACCGCAGTTTTCCTCACTGGAGAAGCCTGTGGTGAGGAGCACCGGAGGGAGGGAGCGTGCCCTGCTCGGACACACCAACAGGTTGGCCCCAAGGAAAGGTAGGGGACTGGGACCAGAGTCCAGCCCTGGGCACTGCTTGTTTCTCCCTGATGTCCCCAAAGCCCCTCTCACTGCTCCCATGGTTGGGATGGCTGGATTGATCCAACCGTCCCCCTGCCCTCACCTCACCCCCAGCCATCCCACGCCCCCCCTGTCCCCAGCCCTGTTGTGCCACCTCACTGGGATCCCCTCCCTGTCACATTCCCTGGGGTCCCACTAACCCCCCTCTGCTGTGCCCACAGCTGGGGACACAACCCCCCTCCCACTATGGAGCTGAACCAGACGTCCCCACCTCTCTCATCTTCCCTGATGGACACTGAAGGAGATGATTCCTGTGGGATCAATGTCACTGATGTGGCCGTAAATGGTGTCACTCTGCTCATCTGCCTCTGTGGGCTGGCTGGGAACGGGGCTGTGCTCTGGCTTCTGGGATTCCACATCCGCAGGAACCCCATCACTGTCTACATCCTCAACCTGGCCGTCGCCGACTTCACCTTCCTCCTCTTCATGGTCCCCTCCTCCCTGCTCTACCTGCTGGACGACGTGTCCTGCTCCACTGTCGTGTCCCTGAAGTACCTGAGGTCCCTTCTCCTGCTGTCGCTGCTCTCCTACAACATGGGGCTGTACCTGCTGACGGCCATCAGCATCGAGAGGTGTGGCTCAATTCTCTTCCCCCTCTGGTACCGCTGCCGCCGTCCCCGGCGCCTCTCGTGGGTGGTGTGTGCCCTGCTCTGGGCCCTCTCCATCGCTGTCATGGTCATGGTGACCTCCCTGTGCCTGTCACACGAGCACGAGCACTGCCGGGTGGCTCTCATCTCCATGTACGCCCTCAGCTTCCTCATCTTTGCTCCACCCATGGTCATCTCCAACGTGATCCTCTTCATCAAGGTCCAGTGTGGCTCCAAGAGACGCCAGCCTAAGAGGCTCTACGTCGTTATCTTCCTCACTGTGCTCTTCTTCCTCATCTTTGGAGTGCCCCTCAGCCTCTCCAATTTCCTGCAGCAGCTCAGCCCCAGCGTCGTGTCCTCCCAGGTGGTTTTCCTGCTCGCCTGCATCAACAGCAGCATCAACCCCTTCATCTACTTCTTGGTGGGGAGCTGCTGGAGGCACTGCTCCGTGGTGTCCCTCCAAGTCGCCTTCCGGAGGGTCTTTGAGGAGACAGGGACCACCACAGTGTCCAGCTGAGAGGCCACTGTGGTGCCACCAGCCATGCTGCCCACGCTGGCTTCATGCTCATCTGCCCACCCTCGCTCCCAGCCAGGCCTCCAGGTCATCTTCCTGCAGCTGTGAGTCAGGATGCATCCCACAGCTTTTCCATCCCTTTTCCCATCCCACTGATCCACGTTGTTGTGTCTATTCCTACCCTTATCCCTATCCCTATCGCTATGCCTGTCCCTGTCTCTATCCCTTTCGCTATGCCTGTCCCTATCCCTACCCCTGTTCCTGTCCCTATCCCTATCCCTGTTCCTGTCCCTATCCCTATCCCTGTCCCTGTCCCTCTCCCTATCCCTGTCCATGTCCTTCTCCCTGTCCCTATTCCTGTCACTATCATTGCATCCCCATCCTATCTGCATTCCCACCCCAGTCCTATCCCCAAACCATGCTCATCTCGGCTCCCCTTCCCTGTTGCTCCCCTTCCCTGTACCTATCCCTTGCCGTGCCGCGCTATCCCGCGGGTTTCCCAGCTGGCGTCCTCTCCGAGCCCGATCCGTCGGGCTCTGCTGCCCTCCTGTGGTAATATTTGGGATTGCCGGCATCCGGACCCTTCCCCATCCCCTCTGAGATCCCAGATCCCCTCCTAGGGCCGCCTTCCCCCCTGACAGCCCCGCTCCTCCCGGGATCCCCGGCTGTGTGTCCACTCCTGGCCATTCCACGCTCCTCTGGCCCAATAAACGCAGATGGATCCATCCCGCTGTCGCCTCTGGTCCCTCTCCTGGGAGGCTGGGGGGCGGGACACGGCGGGTGAAGCTCTGGAGGGGAATGTCCCAGAGAAACACTCCCCAAAAACAGTGTGAAGAAGCTTGGGCTGAGCAGCCCGTGGGGAGGGGCTGGAGCCTGAGGCCCGGGGCTGGGAGGGATGGGAAGGACGGGAGGTGGGTGGGCTGC